TAAATGCTGACACAAAGGCCAGCGGCTGAGCTGTACGGCGGGCACAGACAGTGGGAGACGAAGTTAAGCGTTTGGTAAAATTCAGCTGGAAGTCACTTGACGTTTGGGGGGGAAAAAAGAGTTTTGAAGGCTCTTTTCTGTGTCCGCACCAGGATGCGTAAGAAGCCGTGTGTCGCGGAGCAGGATCCAGGAGATCAGCGCAGTCATAGATCTGTCAGCACTTCTATTGTAGTAGTCTTTGCAGGGTGTCTAACGCTTCTGTTTTAATTTTGCTGAGGGCTGTAACTCTGGCAAAATTTAAACTCCTTTCAGCTCCCAGTCGTGAGGTTTTAAATCCTCCAAATTCATACTTTACAAAAAAAAAAAAGAAAATATTTCCTGTCTAGCAAGTGTATGGAGATCGTTCCAGCTCCTTAGCTAAGATTTAACGGCACAGACAATGATCTAATTAACTTCCTTTTTTAAAACTCTCGCTCCAAGTCCACTTCCTAAGACTAAATCCCTAGCACAGCCCCGCTGACCATGGATGCGCTTTCTTGCCCACTCGGGTATTTCCAAAGTCACTTCCCAAGGGTCCCAGGTCACGCTTCCGCATGTGTGACAGGCTGAATCAGTCTTTCCTTATGGTGAATTATCTCAGATGTTGGTGTCTCGCCTGATAATCCTACAAGTGGCCTGCCTGCAGCCTGCCTGCAGCCTGCCTGCACTGATGGCTGCACGTGGCCCTGCTGAGAGAACCTGTGGCAACCAAATTCAGCTGTGGTTTTCTTGCAGTGCGAAGGATCCCCTCCTCCACCATCTGCAGTATTGAGAAACAAATGAGGATACTAAATGCTCTTCACGTTTTAACCAGAGGCTGGGGTAGGGAGGAGGTGACTTTTTTTTTTAGTGCTCGGGATCAAGCTAACCCTGTTTTGGTTTTCACCTGCTCACTTTCTGTGGTGTGCTGAAAGATCCACAGTCGCTGCTCTTTATAACTACAGCCTGCACATTTCTCCCCCCCCCCCCCCCCTCCTCTTTGGAGAGCAGCCAGATCAAAATGGCTGTGATCCAAAGCCAAGAATCACTCCCTTTGCTATGGAAATGAGGACTTGGAGGCTGCTCACCATGTGTTCATCAGAGTTCCTGCTAAGGATGATGAGCTGTAGGTGGGGAAGAGGGCAGCGAAGGTGTGCTTGAACAAATCCGTTTGGAACAAATAAGGGTATTTTTGGATACATCTGACTCTTTGCATTTTTTTTTAAGTCATTTATAGAAAACCAAAAAATTACCCTTTCCATCAAATGGTAAAAACGAGGGAAATAAAGTAGTAGAATTTCGCCATAGCATAAAGGGTGTTTCTTTTCCATTAGAGTGGAAGGGGTGGCAGACCTCCCACTATCTGATATTTGAGATAAGCATTTTTTTTTGTGGTGTTCTGGTATTGATCAAGTGAAGGAAAGATATAATTATCCAAGCTATACAAATAATCCTTCTTCTTGGCTATCATATCCACATTCCCGGTATTAAAGCAGACAAATTGCAAAACCCCTGGGTATATGATACGTTGACACAGGGCAATTTGCTGCGCGTTAACTCAGCAAGGCGAGTTTAAGCCTTCGCTCCACCACCTTCTAAACCATCAGATTTTAATCTTGATGCACAGTGGGATGGGAACATTGCCAGTGGGTGAACAGTCATGAAAATTGACTGTGCACAAAGCAGGGTACTTTTCCCTTCTAGACGAGTTACACACCCCAGGCAGATGAGTGAGTAGGGTTTTGCTGCAAAAAGACCTGCGAGGTGTGTTTTCAGAAGGGAAAGGGCTGAGCTGTTTGCAAGCTTCCTGCGGTGTTGCAGCACGTTGGGCTTTGCAAGAACATCCCTGTTTCTTCAGGGTGGCCTGGTGTCACCTCGCGTGCCAGCGAGGGATGGAGGTGGCTGGGAGGGAGGGAGGAAGGGGGTGATGCTGCTCTTGCACGGTGCTCGCTGCAGGACTTGGCAGGATCGAAGCCGTGGATGCAAAAGTCCGGGCAGCAGAGCCCTGCCGTGTAGCGCCCGAACAGCTTATGGCTGGGAGGAGCCCTCTTGGGACGAAAATGTCTGACAGGTCTCTGAATGAGTCTACACAATAAATTAGTAACTGGGTGCGGAACTGCATTTTTTTATGATGTATCTTAATTGGGCCTCAGGCAGCTTGATAGTACAGCGTGTTTCTTGTCTTTCGGGGATGAGTTGAAATTCACCTTTTCTTTGTGCGTGATTCAGTGGGACTAGGGCTCGGCTGGCATCATTCTCTGAATCCACCCGGGGAACGGGGCTGGTACCCCTGGATGGAGCTGTGCCCTGCCTCATCCACCCACCCACCCTCCCCGCTGGGGCCGGCCCTGCGTGCATCCCTGGGGAGCCCAGCAAGCCGCCTGCGCTGGCAGCGCTCCACCTCGAGGCACGACGTACCATCTGCTTCAGCATAGTTTCTCCCATCCATTTTGGATAACTTAATCTCTTCCTTTGCCTGAAAACAAAGCAAAAACCCGCATTGCACTGTGAGCGGAGCAGTTGTATTTTTCCTCCCCCCAAAAAATGGGTGTGCTTCACTGCCAGGTGATTAATTATCTGTCCCATGTGCGTAATGGTTTGCTCCTAATATTTCATAGTCCCATTGCATGAAAGGTACTGTCTGCCCTACGGCTTCAGCTGCTCCGTCCAGTTGTAGAGCTGAACGTGAACTCTCGGGGTGTTGCTGTGCATTATGAGTGTAAAAAGAAGTCAGTGTCTGGGTTTTGCACCTTTACCTGCTGGCTGGAGCTGGAGAGCAGCTCCTGGTTTATGACTTCCCATTGCACTTCGGTGTCACTGGGTGTGTCCAGCGTGGAACAGGCCTTTATTTGTGCCGTAAGTGAAATAGTCGTCAGAAAGCGTATTATGCAATTCTATTAACTAATGTTAAGTACAGAGGAAGCCTACGTTTATCTATAATATGATAGTAATCATTAATAATTTATATATAGCTTTCTTCCCATGGACATCTTAAACACCCCAATCATTCACAAAATTTTGCGTTTAAAAACTACATTTGCTTTTTGTTAACCTGCGTGAGTTCCTAATAAAATGGTGTTTGTGGCACTTCTGTAGCTTTGAAATGACCGAGTTAATTGGAGAGATTTAACAGGACATCAGTATAGAAATGGTACCGTGAGAAACGCTGCGGGGAAAACCCACCTACTCGCAATGGCTGGAAATAAATGCAGAGCCCTTCACGCCTCTGTCACCAGCCCGTAGAGTTCAGGTCATCGGTGGCTGAAAGCCATTGCCAGCTGCGTGGCCCGTGTGAAGGCGGTCGGTGGCCTCCACCCCACACCTGGGGACAGACGTCCCCATCGCAAAAACAACCCTGTAATCGGTGCATTTGTTATCTGTGCCTGCAGAGAAGCTGGCTTTTCCCCGAACGGGTAACTGGCTGCCTGGGCTGTGACCCTCGGTCGGGGCTTTGCTCTTACTGTCACATTCCGATGGCACTTCCACCTCGGCAGCGGGTCCGTGTCGGCAGCAGCTGCCCAGACGGGAGACGGAGCCGCTGTGGAGATGCCCAGTGCCAATTCCCAAATGCTTCAGTTGGACGTGGTCGGGGGGAGCTTGTGGAAAACAAATACTCTGATTATTTTTTCTTATCTATGCGGAAACCAGAGTATTTCACTCGATAGCTGTCTGTTATGTTAATTGTAACATTTTTCTCCTCTTCAAACATATTACGTGACTGCTTATTTCCCAGCTCTGATCAGTGCTTTCTTCTAGTTATTCAGCTTTTTGTTGCTGTTAATTTTTTTTTAACCTCCGAAACTACAAAACAGCGATCATTCTGAAGTCTCTTTTTCGCTACGCTCTCATGCAAAGCCTTTGCAGTTAGAGACAGACATACAACCTTTTATCACTTCTGCTGCAGACAGGCTGTGCAGAGGGAGATGTGCTGGAGCCACGTTCGGAGTCTCTCACTTGAGAGCGTCAGGCTGGTGGGTCTGGAGCAAGAAGCTCCATGAAGCTGAGCAGCTTTTCCCAGCCTCTGAGTGTGCTTGGGGACCTACTGGGAGGCAAGATAGGAGGTGGACTCTGCTTAATTTTATTTTTCTAATTTTTTTTTTTTTTTTGCTTTCCCTAGAGGCTGAGGCAGAAATATTTTTCTCATATGTAAAAGCAAGATGCTGTACGGAGGCTCCTCATTCTCCTGCAAGCCCTGATTGAGGGAGGAAAATCTTATACGATGGGAAAAGTCCTTCCCAGATGCGAGGGCTCCGTAGGTTGCATACACGGAGGGCGATACAGTCGCTCGCTTCCAGAGTTGGTGTTCGCATGCGGTGTTGTGCCCGTGTCTTCTTCCAGGGCTCAGGCCCTGGAATTTTCCATGCCAGTCCCTTTCCCTCTATTCTAACTCAAGCTTTCTTGAAAATTATTTTTCTCAAGAGAAGGAGAAGTGCTACAGACACACTAAGTTAATTTGAGTCATTAGCTTGTTTCCATTACTTCTCTCTGCCTAGGAAGCTAATTTTATTATTTTTTAGTGAGATTTTGGAGTTAGAAGAAAGAAGTGGAAGCTAGCGAACATGTGGAACCACTTCACAGGAACACCGGATTTTGAGAGCTTGCATTTTTATTTACATCTTCTGGACCCTGTCTGACTCGAAAGTAAACAAGTTCAATCTGAGACCAGATTTATCCCTGAAAAATATGCGGAGACTTGTCTAAAAACTGCTTTTAGGATTAGGAACTTCCTTCACTGCAATAAGAATACATTTACAATGGGAAAACTGATGCTTAACCGGCAAATTCTTTCTGTAAAACACCCTTGGAAGTGCAGCTCAGTTGTGTTTGGTGCAAGACAGCCTGAAACTTCATTTAAAAAAAAAAAAAGAAAAAAAAGGCAAAACTGGCTGAGAACTTAGCAGGTCTAAAGCAAGGTGCAGGAATAGTGAGTGAAACTGTATTTCGGTGTTGCTGGAAGCTGGGTGATGGTGCAGATGAGAGGGTCCTGTGGAGGTCCTTGGCAGGCATCTTCTGGGCAAGCAGGAGGTCCCTGCACCTGTAACTGATCTTCTTTTGACGTTCCTCTTCTCTGCAGACACAATGAGGCGAGTGGTACGACAGAGCAAATTTCGTCACGTGTTTGGCCAAGCGGTGAAAAATGATCAGTGTTACGACGACATCCGCGTCTCCCGTGTTACTTGGGATAGCTCCTTTTGTGCAGTAAACCCCCGATTTGTTGCAATAATTGTAGATGCTAGCGGTGGCGGAGCGTTCCTGGTGCTGCCTTTGCACAAGGTAAGTGCTTTTTTGAAAGTTTCTCACTATTACATGCTCAGCTTTGTTGTCATTCCGGCACTTGTTTATGAATAACATTAAGGCTGTGAAGTCTCTGCTGTGTTGCGACAAACGCTGCTCAGTTGTGCCATGTAAGAATCCATTTAATGTCTCTGTAATCAGTCTGGTGCTTCCTGTACATTAAACACAGTAAATAAGCGGTTTGCTTGACTAATCTGAGGCAATTCTTTTTGGCAGGAGTTTCTATGTAGAATCATACTCCTAGTGAAGCCTCTTTATGATAGCAGCGGTCAGGTTTTTCCACTGTCAGGGATTCAGCTTTTCGAGCTCCGCAAGTGTCAGTTAATTCAGGAATGCACCTGAACCTAATTACTCCTTGCAGCCCCGTATGGGATGGATGCAAAGGAGTGAGCTGGTTCCAAGTAGGGCATTTCCATAGGCCTCATGGCCCTGGCATGTGAGCTGGTCTAGGCTGCTGCCAGCCCCTTCAGTTACCCTTTCTCTATACGGTGTAAGACAAGAATAACCTGGGTAAGAAACCAGCTCCTCCAAGTACCATTGCAGCTGTCCTGCGGTTCCCCCAGATCCCAGGGCTGTGTCTAGGCTTTATTATGCTTCAGCCAGATCTTGCTATCCCCTCGTACCTGACATACCGAGGAGAGGGGCTTCATCTGATCTCGGGCAGGGAAACACCCCTTACGTTCTCTACTGTGCAAAATGCTGCTGAGTCTTCAGTAAATAATCTTTCAGTGAGCCCGTATATACACTCTGCTTCTTTCCCTTATACTTTGAATTTATTTGTAGAACCCCAGGGGTGTGCTTTGCAAAACACGCAGAAAAGTTAGGTTCCTGTCCATCAGCCATGAGAATGGCCGGATCAAAGATTTGGAGGGAGGCTGAAAAGATGGGTACAGAAGCTTTCCTGGCAGTCTCTCTCAATGCTGTGGTATAAAGCACACAAATGAGCAGGAGCGGTGTCTCAGACTGAAATAAATTCCTGTTGCCCCCTGACACTGCATGGAAAAATCACGGAGCATCTTCCGCCCTTGTTGGAGAGCGGTGCTCTCATCTCCCTTTCTGATGCTCAACCAGCAAATTCTTCTGATGAAAGTCTTTTTCTGTAACATTATTTTCTTTGTGACCCTCAAGCTTCTCTTAACTATACACTTAAGACGTCCTCAGTCTGTCATCAGCCCTGTCCTTTTTTCCTAGCTCCATTTGCAGATCTGCCCTGTTTATATATAGAAATAGTGACCAGAATTGAATATAGCATCCCACATGGCGAGTGCATTACAGGAACAGAGGCAGCGAGTTCTCACTTATGCCTCAGTTGTGCTAAGCGAAGCAAGCCAAGCCCCTAGCCTCCTTAAATAGCTCTCCATTTTGCTCATCTTATTAACAGCCCTTCTTTGCAAGTAGTCTGGTTTGCGCTCATCTTCAGGCCACGTGTCCTGCTCTTGCCCAAGCCACGCACGATGGCACAGTTCTCGATTAGAAATTCCTTGCTCAACCCAGCATGCAGTTGCACTCGTGTTGCATCAACGACACAATCAAACGCTGATGGCGGAGGACGCGCACCCCTCTTTTTCTCTCACTTCCCAGTGTTTTCTCAGTCCCTGGCAGAAATTCCTGCCGATCCTGAGTGATGTAGCCTTTTGTATTTTTAAGTGCCATCTTATGTTTGTTTGGTTTTTTTTACGTTTATGCAGTTATTCCTCCTGCCCTCCTCTGTATTTGCCATTGCCTTTGTACCCTCAACAATATTCCTGGCTTGTCTTATACAGCTACTTAATATTCACATATGACAAGGTTTCATGCAAAGCTGGAGGAACCCTTGTTCCGAAACTCCCCCAGCCTGACACGTTCTTTTGCAATGCAACACGTTGCTGGCTTTGCTCTAACCAGCTCCTATGTTCCTCATTTATTTTTATAGCCTCAACTGATGAAATTGTTCCTTCAGTTCCTTCAGCAAGCTAACGTTTTGATTTCTGTTTGATCCCGTTTGGCAGAGGTATTCACTGAGTTCCCACAGCAAGATCCTCGCTGTTATATTCAGGGGTAAAAAAAAAAAAAAGGTCAATTTGAAACCATGGTTTTGGTATGATTTTAAAATTGAGCCATAAAAATACACTTGCTGCATTTCAGAGCCTTTACGAGGCTGCCAGAGTCTGCAGGGAAAATGGCCCTCCTATAACTTAATTGCATCGTGTCCGCTCAAATCCAGCGCTGTGCGGGTCACTGTGAATTACTTCTAATGTGGCTTGACCTTCCGCGAGGGGTGAGCCGAGCCTGCGCTTCAAAGGGCCTGTGTAATCACAGAAAGGGAGTTTTTACTCATTTTAAATGCCTTTTTCCTTTCCAAGTTTCAGTAATATTGTGGGGTTTTGTTGTGGCGGTGGCTTTTTGCTGCCAGGCGGGCAGCCCCCCCCCCCCCCCCCCCCCCCCCCCCCCCCCCCCCCCC